ATATATATATATAAAACTGTAGGTTGTATATAAATTTGTTACAACAATGAACACATTAACTCATACTGTATGTAACCGTCGCAACGAAAAACTAATTGTTGTGTTTTCTGTCACAACTCTACGGCGAATATCGAGTAGTATATAGTTTTATTGTACGTGTATAAATAACTATATTTCTAAACAATATGAATAGAAGATGGATCAGCAGCTGTGATCGGGTTCCTACCGATTATCTTATGTAACGATCTTCTCTAAAGACTGGTAAGAGAAAATTTAAGTAGTTATTGTTAGTATATGACTTTTACGCTCTGCCGTTTGTACTACACTGGTGTTGAGTAATATACACAGGTTAAACCCATGCTAAGAAATTGCACGATATGTTTCAGGCCGAAGACTTTTAATACTTTTCAGAATACTTAATTGCCATATTTATCTATTCAGACAGGGAAACTAAGCCAGTGTGTCTATTGTGTATCCTCTCCCTAACCTGGTCTAGCATGGCCTGTGTGGAATTGGCGTGGTCTGTCCTCTGGCCTCCGTCCTCTCTTTGTGCTGCCTTACGTAACCCCACCATTTTGCGCGTGACGTTTCAAAAACATAATATTGTTTTAGTAATGTTCATATTATATCATACACTAAAATGTAAATTACACGTGCAAACATTGGGGACTTCCAGCTTTCAAACATTTTATTTTCTGAGATTTAATGAGTAGATCAGCCGTAAAGGAATGATTACATATTTCGTTTTATAAATAATATAGTATATGATGAAGCATTCTGTGAGAAAATAACGTTTATTTGTATTCATTCTCTTGCCAGCAAGTGTTTGGAAAACTTTCTCATTTCATATTATTGACCTTTGAATGTATAAAATTGCTCAGTACACTGTTAAGAACACATGTTAATGTTTAAAAGTCCAGTTCCACTTTTCTTCAACGCTTGGTATCGTTTCACAAGTGCTACCGTCTCTCCAGGAGTGGCGCTTCAGACCCCCATCCCCCGTCAGCGAAGTGGGCCGTCGCGTCGCGCGAGTCGTTTGTCACCCGTTGGCCGCCGCAACTCGTCACTGTCGCTCGCGCGCGCCGCTGGTGATTCAATAATCTCGCAGAGTCACTTTAAACGAATCGTGCGTGGGTGTGATGAAGATGCCAACACCTAAAATGAACGTCTCGCTAAGGAATCGTTGTGGTGATTCGGGATCCACTCAGCGTAGTACATTATCTTTATTATTTTGCTGTTATTGTTGTTCCTTACTTACTTACTTACTCACTCAAATTTTAGGCTTTGCCAATTTGGAGTTTTGATCTCAAAATATATACAAATATTTCATTTTTTTATACATGTTAAAATATTTAAAATAGTGAAAAAAATATAAGTTAATTAACACGACGTATTATAAAATCAAAAACTTGTTCTAGGGCTACGTCTTAAGTAACCATTTTTCAACATATACTCTCTTTACTAATGATCATTTTAGGTATTTTGAAATAACTCCCGTAACTGATAAGACGTAAGTATATCGGTGGATTCCTACATCCAGAGTTTTTATTTCTATTAATTATTATTATTATTATAGTAAGTACTTTTATCTATATTATTACCTTCAATGCTAGCAGAAATTGAAGAATAACTGTTCACATTCTTGTCCTGTATCGTGGGTTTTGATTGATACCCAGGTGCTGAGGAAAATCCAAAAGCAAGTAAATAGTTCCCATTTTGGCTGAATGGAAATATTTGATTGTTATTCCGTTCATTCTCATACTGCGCGGGACGATTGAAATGTCTTCGTAATGTTACTGTTGTATTCGTGAAGTTGTGTTTGTTAAAATATTTAATTTACAGGAGTGTGATGAGAGAGTATTTCACCTGTTCTTCACGAGCGGTGCGCGATATACTGTGTGAAACATCTTGTTGTGTGGTGTTTTGTTTTGCAGCGTTTTCGTTTCTATAAGCCACTACTTACGAAATAAAGTGAAAAAAAGTGAAAAAATAGTAATTTCGACATCACAAAAACTTATTCTGCAGTTACAATATATTTGGGGGGGGGGAGGTCTCTTTACTGTTCACTTCAGCCACCGTCCGCGCAATAATTTTCGCCCTGAAAATCCGTCCTCAAAATCCAAGCTCCTGGGTTTCAAGTCCCGACGGTGACATGATTGTGGACAGTAGGTAGGTAGATCGAGTTCAGCCGATGTCTGGTGGAGAATTATAGCGGACAGCTGATCTGATCGGTTATTTTTCTTGGTTTTTCTAATCGAAAACGTCAATACCAGAGCATTATCCTAACAGAAGGAACCCGGGCTGCGAGCCATTCCATTCTATGTGAAAATATCCCATACCATTATGGACCCACTACCAGCTCGCTCAGTGTCTTGTCGACATCTTTCACGGTCCATGGCTTCGGGGGTCTGTGCCACTCTGGAACCCTATCATCAGCTCTTAGCTGAAATCGGGAGTCATCTGACGAAGTTTATGGTCCAATCGATATAGTCACAAGCTCTGGAGGGGCGCAGCAGACCACAAGATGAATTAACACAGATATTCTAGTCGGTCTTCATCTGCCAGAACGCATTAAATTCAGCAGCACTGTCCTAACGAATACTTTCATCGTTCAGCTCTTTGATTTCTGTAGATATTTCAGGCACTGTTGCGTGTCTGTTATCATAGATAACTCTACGCCGTCATCTAGTGAGTTCTTCTTGGTGAGAGTTTATGCCTGAAAATACGCATTCTCGGCACGCTCTTGACACTGAATTTCAGAGTATTGATTTCCCTAATGATTTCCGAAATGAAATGTCCTATGTGACTAACTGCAACTAACATTCCTCGTTTAAAGTCTGTTACTTCCCGCCGTGCGGCTGAAATCACGTCAGAAACCTTTTCACATGAATGACGAGTATAAATGAAAGCTTTGCCAATGCACTGCCCTCTTATAGTACTTCTTGTACGCAATACTCCTGCCATCTTTATATTTTCTTATTTCTATCACATGATGTTTGTCACGTCAGTACAAAAATACATGAAACCATTAACACGAATTTGGAGTCAAATTTTTTTTTATCTCCGTTTACGACAATCTTTTCATTTAAAAAATATGATCTACTGCACCCTAGTTTCTTTTGTATTCTTATAAACATTTTATTATTAATTTTTAATTCATTCTCTCGCGTGTTATTTCCTTATTTCTTCGTCATCTCTCTTTGCTCATGCGCTTCATTTCTGCCCCCGGGTCTCCGTACACTATTTCTCCTCCCCCTACTTATTCCCTCCCCTCCTTTTTCCTTCTCTCTTCTTTTGGAGGACTGACTCTAATTACTTCGCCACATGATCCAGGTCATTTATGCCTTTCCCCGTGGTACCTCGACCATTGTGAGTCTTTTCAACGGTTTCCATTCTTAACAAAACGAGGTTTTATTTTTAATTTTTTAATTTTGTGGTAGATCAGTAATTGTTTTGCTGACAATTTTCAAAAGATTATGTCTATAGTGAGCAAAAGCGCTGAGACTAGTTCTAATTATTGCCAAAAATCTCTTAGGTGGAAACAAATGAAACATAATTTATGATTTGAGGGAACTGCAGTGCAAATTACGACAGCCTTGTATCGCACGCAGCCCTACGTGTTTGCTTGCGTTTAGTCCGTGAGAACCGTATCCCGCCAGCATTCCATCTGAATTGCAGTGCGCCTCAGAGAAAAGATGCCAATGACCTCCTGAGTTTTATCAGCTTGAGTCTTGTAAAATGATCATAAAATTTCGGTTACAAATAGGTTGCGACGAATTAGAAAATTACAAGAAACACTTTGCACGAGTTGTTATGCTTCCTTTATCAAAACAGTAAAAGAATTAAGGCCAATATTATGAAGCACGCGCTAGTGTTTTTTACTAATGAAATGGCTCACCTATGAACAGAACTGATAAACATAATGTGATGTACCATATTAGCATTGGGTAATTCCTGGCACAATGCAATGCACATTGAGTGTCATTGATTTCCTGCCCTTTTGAATGATTATTCTTTTATTGGGAGTCAGGTCGCACCGGCTTTGAGGCAATAGAATTCGCGACCTTTTGTCTGACTTCCCTGATTGATTACCATGTCTGAGACAGTACTCCGTTGGTACGTGCAGGATGGTGACGTCATGAGAAATTGTGAGGCGGCGTTTCTTTTAAGTTTTCTGGAAATTTTACTTAATGCTGTGTAGTTTTCTAGGCGGTTCTCGTAATTTTTTCCAGAATCTCGTAGTAAACGCGCGCGTGCGTGTGTGTGTGGCTCCGAACCCCCGACCAACTGCCTGGATTGCAGGGTACAGTGTGACCCATCGCAATAATAATAGTTCAAGTGACATATTCCTTTCAATTTGACAAATATTACTATTTTTGTGCAAAATGATGAAAACTAAATTGTGCGTGTTCTATCTTTGATGGTGAGCTAAGAAGTAACAGAAATTCCTTCGATAAGTAGATCTGACTGGCTTCACCGCTCGAATTGACTATCAGGGCCGAACAGTTCGTGTGTAGTGTCATAAAAAGAAAAGTATATCAATTAAACACTGTCTGCTATCATTGCCTGTTGTGTGTATACGCATAAAATTACAAGAACACAAATTTTTCACTAATCAGCAATTATTAATTACGTACCTAATAAATACATAATACATAAAATATACATACATGCATGCATGTATGCATACATACTCACGTAATCTACCATCCTATTCCTAGTTTAATGATAAATTAGTAGTGGATGAATTCTTT